AAGAAACAGCTAAGACCACACATTGCTGCTCGAAGCACGAAGCTGAAAACACCAGCCTGAAGATGACGAATGGGACTTCGTCGAAACGTCGCCAAGACACTTCCAATTTTACGCGGGAGAAAACCCGAACCAAAGACCTACATACAAACACCCGCGAAAACCTCAGAAAACATATATATATATACATACATACATACACATACACATACATACATACATCTCGATACAAAAGCTACAAGTGGCGCAAAGAGCCATGGAAAGATAGATGCTTGGCATCACAGGACAAGATAGAAAGACCTACGTATGGATTAGAGAACAAACGGAAGTATAAGATGCCATCAGAAGAGAAAAAGCATTGAACAGGGAATGGGCTGGTCACATAGCAAGAAGGACAAAGGACAGGTGGATCAAGGCAGCAACAGAACAGATCCCACTTGATCAAAAGCGTCCATGAAAGAAACCTAAAACAAGACAAATTGATGACATCCGCAAGTATTGCAGGCCCAATTGGCAAAAGAAAGCCCAGGACCGTATTGGTTGGAAACATGCAGAATGGCCTTCATCCTACTGTGGATAGATAAGGAATCTGTTTTAAAGTGTGATTGATTGACTTGTCCTTGGCAAAGAGTTGTGAATCCATTGGAGTTATCTTGTTCAGGGTGATGATTGACTCAAAAAAAAAAAAAAAAAAAAAAAAGAGCTGTTTTACCTAGAATCAGCAAGTTGAATCAGATTAGCTTTTGGTCAGATGCTGTGCTGAAAAGCTCTTCTGACCTGTCACTCAAATGGCCTGAGACAAACTGCATGACCGTGTCAAGTTAAATCTCCCCAAGGTCTGCATGGCCCCATTCATTATAAGCCAGTCTAAAAAGTGGTTCCTCGGGAAATTAAGGAAATTAATTTCTATATATTAAGGAACTGACGGAAACTGATGGGAAGAACAATTAAACAGGTTAGGAAGTTACACTGTGCTGACTGAAAGGGCAATCAGATTGATGGGAGTTGAAGGCCAAAATATCCGGACAGCATTTGGTGCCTAATCAGCCAAAAGATTTTATGGATGCACTAGGCCAGGTGTAGGCAACCTTGGCTCTTTTATGACTAGTAGACTTCAACTCCCATGCTGGTTCAGGAATTCTGGGAGTTGAAGTCCATGAGTCATAAAAGAGCCAAGATTGCCTACCCCTGCATTAGGCTAACTCTGTTTTTTGAAGTCAAAGAAAAATAAGATTATAAATAACAGAATACCAGAATTGTGAGGGATTTTGGAGGTCTTCTAGTCCAATCCTTTGCTAAAGCAGAAGACCCTACACCATTTCAGACAAGTGGCTGTCCAGTCTCTTCTTAAAAAACTCCAGTGATCCATTTCCATTTTTTGTCTTGCCTTCTGGTGCTTTGGAAAATAGGTTGACCCCCTCCTCTTTGTGGCAGCCTCTCAAATATTGGAAGACTGCTAGCATATCACCTCTAGTCTTTCTTTTCTAGACTAGATATACCTTATTCCTGCAACCATACTTCAGGATAGCCTCTCAAAAAGCGAAAAGTGAACAAATTTCACCCCACCTGCCATCCCCATAACCAGGTTGAAGCAAAATTTTAAAGTGATAGAAAGCTCTCTTTCAAGATCACAGGCCACATTCTGTATAGCCAACTCCAATTCAATGCAACCAGAGTAAACATCTACAAAATATTAAGGATTGGTTCTACACGAATCTCCCCACTGGTTAAAAAAAAGAAAAGAAAACCATTCTGTCTGTAGAAATGTTTCACAAGATCATCTCCCAAAATTCTTTTTGAAGCTAGTGTGAAATGATCTGGACATTTGTGCCTCTAGCCAGTTTTTCTACACAAACTTCTGGGATGGACAGTAGTGACTCAACTGAATATCAAGGCTTACATAATTTATTGACATCAAAAAATTATGTTAGAACAGACTCTATCACTCTAAACCAGATCCAGCCTTCCAAAGATCATGTAAACATCCACATATACTGTAGTTCCCCGACTTTTCAAAAGTTAATCACTTTAGCTATCTGGGAAAAAGAAAAAAATAAATCAAAGCTGCACCTCCCAGATTGTAATGTCTATAGTTTTAGGCAATTTTACCACAAGGTTTTCAACTATTGAAAAGAGTTAATTATGCCGACCACCATCTTATGTTTCCTTGCATCTCAACCCTCTTCTCTTTCTCATGCTCATCCTTTGTTACCATCATTTTTGACTGAGTACAGAAAAGTTGGTTTCAACCTCTTGGATATTATGTAATTAAGCTTGGACCAAACATTCCTTTCCTGCTGAAGTCTTTTTTTTTCCCCCTCCAGTTGTTGCCTTAAGAATGAATCATCTTATACAAATATTTGATAATTGCCAAACAATTATCAATTGACACAGAAAGTACTAATCAGGGGTAGAATCTGGAATGCAAGCTTTATTGTATAAAACTATGGAAAATGGAGTGGGGAGAGAAAAAATGGAAATATCTGACCCACTTCTAATCTTTTAACGAAGGCTGGAGAATGCAAAAAAGTCAATAGAGAAACACTAGACAGCTAAACTGCATTTCTGACTAGAAGTGGCAGAACATAAGCATGAGTAAAACAGAAACCTCTAGAGGTACTGAGAATTGTGCACTTGTAATGTCTAGTTTCCATTCAAGCCTAGATGTGCTATAAATTGCCTAACAATCCTTATATATTTTCCAGAATATAACTTTACTGTAGTAGATGACTCATCTTTCAAATTGTCTTAGATTAAAATAGTTTTGAGTTGACAAATCTTCCAAATGTTAAACTTCTGAATTTAAATGCATTTTTTCATGTAATCAACTGTTAAAGACTTCAATCAATATTCTTCTAAATCTTTTTTCTATTTCTTTTTTTCTGTTACTGTATATGCATTTGTGGTAGATTTGCTACCAAAGGTTAGGGTTAGGGTTTTTTCAAGATGGCATATTGGTTGGAAAAATAAAAGGACATTTTTTTCTCTCCAACCAGAGCAGCCTAATTGGTATACCAAAACACTGAAACTCTTCATGTGAAGTTTTCCTCAACTTGGCAGGGATTCACACTGCATCCTTAGTAGCACTGACATCCCTGGAGAGAAATAAAGCTTAACAGTTATTAAGCACAGAAATAACAAATGGTTGACTACCATGGCACACCAGTAATTAAATTTAACTGTACCAATGTACCAATGCTCCTGGTAATTATCCAAAGCAAGCCACCACCAAATCTTTTTAAAAAGAATTAGCTTATCTTTCCTTTCAAACAAAATCTTCACATACTGCTCACTCACTTGCAGCTTTCACTGCCCCAGGACTATCAATTTTGGGTTATTTTGTAAGAGGAGGTGACCTCACTGGTCTATTGGCTTCCTGTTACTTACGCTTGGAAATCCAACCCAGCTTCAGTCAAGTCTCATTTCCACCCCCTCCTCTTTCCAATTTCACATCTTCTCTGAAAGAGTTCAGTTTAAGTCACTTCCATATCCCAAGCAGAACACTGCATGCTAAAGAGCAGATGTTAACAAATTGGTAGATGCTACCAACATAGTTCCTGTCTATGTACTTCTCAAATTTGAATTAAAAGTTGTTTGGGGTAACTCTTACCTTAAAAAAAAAAAAGTTAAATACCACATGCAATGAAGCTATTATATGCTAGCTGATCATTTAAAAGCAAATGTAATTTGACTTAAATGTCAATTATTTTCATATTAAAGTATTTGAGTTTCTGTCCAGAGCTTTTGGCAGAATTCAGTACAGCTGGTAACTTAACCCATTTAAAATTCCCTATATCAAAACCAGGAGTAACTCGAACATTTCCTATATAATTACCTACATCCTGAAGGTAGCTATTCCTGCACACATTCAGTATAATTGACATTCTTGTCATCATAAAGTGGTATTGTTAACAAGTGGCTGGACTGTCCAAATCACAAAAACCCAAAAAGGATGAAGGCATAAAATAATAAAACTAGGTGCTTCCTATTCGGTTAGGGGTGACAAATATCTGAATGGGTCCTGATCACTACAGTAACTACGAATGTGTCTTTCTAGTATTGGATGAACCCACATTGGTGAACCAAGGACAACCCAAATTACTACCATTTGATTTAGGGGCCAAATAAACTCAGATTTAAAACCAGACTATTTCTAATTTACAGACATGACTTTTTGGAACCAGTATAAAGGAACCCCCAAAATTAATAGCCTTGACCCTCAGAGGGGATGACCCAGGAAAGGAAAAAAGCAGGCCCCGTTTCCCACTTCCTGCATCTACCACACCCTATGGACACACGTGAATAATGACTTATTCCCACGGAGAAAAATCCCCCCGGAAAAAGGGGGGGGGGGGCTGGAGGAAAAGCGAAAAGGAGAGGAATGCACCTGACCTGACGAACCGAAAGAGGCTTTTCTGCGACCGTCACGCTGGGGGGGGGGGGGATTTTCCTGCCAGAGCCGTGACTTTCAACCAACAGCCATGACACATCAGAAGCCTCCCTTCCTTCCCTCCCTCCGGATCAGACACGGGGCTCGGAGGAGACCAAGAACCCGGATTTCCTTGCATCGGGTCGTCGCCGAGAGGCTGTCCCGATTGAGGCCGGGGCCGCGATGACTGGAGAGGCGGGCGCAGGGAGGCCAGGCGGTAACGCCAAGCCAGGCCCGGGCCTCGCGCTTGCCCAGTTAGACCGCCGCTCTCCGCAGCGGGGCAAAGGCGGGCCTCCCTCCTCTCTCCTCGTTCCAAGCGGAGGGAAGGCCTCGGAGGCTGACAGCCCCGCCGGCCAGGGGCGATGGGAGTCGTAATCCAGCGGATCGGGAGAACCGCCCGCCTCGCGAGGACGGAGGGGGCAGCGGCCCTGGGTGGGGGACGGGCCCCGTGGCCGCTCGACCCGAGAGGGCGCCCCCCACCCCGAGGCCGCGAGCGCCGCCGCCCCGTCCGCCCTCTTCCCCCTCAGCCGCCCGTCCAGAGTCTGGCCGCCACCGCCGCCGCGCCCCCTCGTACCGCCCCAGAGGCCGCGGCGTCGTTCCGTCCCGTCTCCCGTTTCTTCCGCCCGCCGACGCGTCTCCTCGGCCTGGCTGGTTCGGCGGCGCCTGCGTCCCTTCCTGGCTCCGCTTCTCTCCCTCAAGCGGCCATTTTATGCTCCATTGTTACTAAGGAACTCGGGGCCGGAAACGGCGAGGGTAAGTCGGGAGGGAGGAGGGAGCACGGCGGGGGGAGGGAGCGCAAGGCGACGCCTTGATTGGTTGGGTGCCGGGCGGCGGCCCGCGCAATAGAGGAAGTGACGAGACCGGCTTCCTTCGCCACGCCCCGCGGCGTGCGCATGCTCACTGGGCCCGCCGTCCCCCTCTCCCGTCACGTTGCTCGGCCGAAGGGAGCGGCTGGAATGGCGCAGAGCGGAAAGGAAAGGCGAGGGGATCATAGAGTCCGGAGCGCCAGGAGGGAGTGGCCCTATGCGCTGGCTGCCACTGGGCGGCCATTTTGAAGGCGAACCAAGCTGAGGCCGGGTGGGGGTCTCCGGGTCGGCTCGAGGGGCTTATCCCCAAGGCGGAAAAAAGCGCCCACGAATCTCTCTCCGATGCCAGAGAAGCCGCTTCAGTTCGGAAAGGCCGTTTGGTCCCTGCGGCTCTCGTCTTCCCGCGGGACTCCAAGACCCATCATCCACAGCCCGGGCCGCCTCCCGCTCTGTAAACGGGGGGGGGGAATGGAGGGGTTTACAGGTGCCTGCAACCTCATCGATTCCCTCCCCGTCAGACTTTGCAAGCGATAGGGGTGGGTGTGGACTACAACACCTATCCGCCCCAGCCAACCAGATGCCTTTTTTTTTTTCAACCCCCTTTCACTTTTCGCAGTGCCTACCTGGAGGATGGGCTGCATCCCTCTTCCTCCGCCGCCGGAACAGGTGACCAGACTGACTTCCTCGTGGGTGCAGCATGATGGGTCCGGAAGTCGGAAAGTTTTGGGAAAGATGGAGGCCTCGAAGCGCGGCTGGGTTGTGAGAAGAAAGTCCAATTCCGTCTCTTGCACAGCTGTATCCAGACCCGCCTCCCTCTCCCTGGGGCTTGCGGATCAGGTTCAAGCGCACGAAGCTCCCCATCATCCACAGCCGGGCCTGGCTGCCTGCCTTGGCCAAACCAGAAAAGAAAAATGGAAGTCAGGAATGGCCTCCCCAAATGATTCCTCTTTGGTTGAGCAAAAGTCTTGCAAAAATACACTCACCCTGAATCTATCAGGAAGGTCCACACATTTCTCATGGATTAAACCATGTCAGGATTTATTCTTTTATCTCCCTGTATCAGTTCATCAGTCCATTGATGCAAAACAGAAAAGAAATCTGCCTTTTTTTACACAATTGGTCAGTAATTGTCTTCCTCTTACCTCCAGCTTTTCATTTCACTATTGATAATTCAGGAATCAATTCACATGCAATCAAGTGGATTGTAGCTCACCAAAGTTGTCTTTTAGATGCCATTTCCCTAATTTCCATATTTTGGATAATTTGTGTATCAAATAGCAACATTTATATCAATTCTAATACATGAAGTTAGTACAGTTGCCATAAACCTACTTTCTTCAGATCTGTGGCATCTCAACAAATGTGATCTGTTGCCAGCATTGTCATCTTTAGGACACCAGCTGGAGAAGACTGATGCATATTTGTAATGCTAATTATATGAGCAATGGTGAAATAATCTCTCCGTTGACATGAGAAGAAAGGTTTATCTGCTATACTAATATTGCCGTAGACAGGAATTACTTTTAAATGAAGAAACGCTGTCAGGTTTTGGACCAGATGAGCAGAAAAGAGGATCTTTTAAGTTTTGTTTGTGAAATACACAAAATATTTAAAATATCTAATTCAAATGTGAAACAGTTTCGATCTTCCCCATTTTAAATTTGAAATGTTTTGCATATCCTTTTTATCTTTTCTGGTATTGCTCTAGTATTTCAGCTTTCTGTGTGCTGGCATATATTCTAAAACAGTGGAACAGTTGTTGCAGATGTAAGGATGCTTTGATTTGTAGCTTGAACTAATGTGCTCCAGATTAAATTGACCATCTCTTAATCTCTGCCTTGTGGTATCATCTGCTTTGCTCAAGCTAGTTTGAGGCTGGATGTAGCCTAACCACTTCCCCTCTGCTGGGCTTCGTAATTATAACAGCCAGGTAGAATGTGGTTGTAGATGTTACAGCTATAATTTATTCTGAAATTGGTGGTCGCAGTCAGTTGTAAAAGGAATAAATCAGGAATGAAGCAAAAATGTCCTCTCAACTGAGCCAATGAAATGGATCTGCCCTGGTAATACCTAGCCATCCTTGCATCTAAGCAAGATCCATTATGATCAATACCTGGATGGAGATCACTAGAAATTTAGGGCTGTAGACTCAATTGAGATTTAAAAAATATCAGGGGAAAGTAGCACAATACTTCCCTCCTATTGCAAAAATACTTAGAGGTGCCCATCAAGTTCCCAGTGCTGAGATTAATTTGAGGGACCGGAACAGAGCCTGTACTTTTTAATTTTGCTTTCTCAGCCTGATGGCAATTGCAAGAAAGCAGCACTCACATCTCCCTTTGAAATTTGCTTCAGTCTGTTGGAATAATGACAAAATATGAACATCTGGCCAGAACAATAATATTTGCTAAGACAAAGAGGCTGAGAAAATGGGAACTGTCACAACTCAACATCTTACTAGGCCTGACATGTTACCACTGATTCCATCCTGTGTGGAAGTTGACACCACTGACATTGTGTCATGCAGAGTCCCACTTGGTTGTAGCTCTGGAAGGGAGTCCTCAACTACAGGGAGTCCTCAACCTATGGCCATTAATTTACCCACCGTTCAAAGTTATGAGCTGAAAAAAGTCAAATCTTAGGACCATTGCACTATCCCCATGTAAGTGTGATTCCCATTCATGCGCTTGGCAACCAGCTCACATTTACAACCAATTGCAGTGTTCTGTGGTCATAATATTGCAATTTGTGACTTTCTGCTGGTTCTGGCAAAAAAACTCTCATTTGGAAGAATGGATTCATTTGGAAGAATGGATTCAATTTCCAACTGCAGTGATCACTTAATGACTGTGAATTCACAATAACTGGTGTGATTTGCTTAACCATTCTAAATATCGTCATGAAATTGGGTTTGACTCAACTTACAACCTCAACAACTTACAGTGGAAGCTGGTCCCAACTATAGTCATAAGTCAAGGACTGCCTGTATGTGGTTGGGCAATTACAGGAATTAAAGTTATCAAGGTAGAGAAACATAATGAAAGATTCTTTAGCTACAGTGTGCTATCATAGCATTGGTCTGTAAGAGATACATGCAGATAAAATTTAGGAAACTAGGGATCTAGAAAATTTGTCTTTTATGATGGGTGATTTGCTTTCTGGGGCTCCTATATCGGGAAATAAAATAAAAACACTCATCTCACAGCTAAAGATGGGCAAAGTGCCTAGTTCAAAGTGGAGGAAGGCTCTCATTCAGTGAAATAAATTGTAATTTATTAGCTAAATCAAGTTGAATTCCTACAATTTGCATATCAATAAAACAATTTTGAGAGGGAAGCGTATTTTGGGTTTTGATAGTGCATCTTATTATATACACACAAACGTAATTTCCTGTGTGAGAGTGAAGAGTGAATGCCTTTTTTTAAAAAAGCCCTGCCATCTGCAGTTTTTGTAATTACTATATTAAAAATAATCACCATTTTAAAGAAATGTTGATTGATTATTTTGGAGGTCTTGTTTAAGTACTCAAATCTAAAAAAAATCTTGTTAGTTGATTCATCAAACCAAATAGTCAATTAACAGATTCGACCCAAATTCTCAGGTTTCAAAACTGTGACCTGGAGACTCAGGGCTATAAGTGACGTACTTGTCAAACCAGATCACCGAAAGATCTGGCAACTTAAAATGTTAAGCTTTGACTGATGGGCTGTAGAGGTTTTTGGCAGCTGGGCCATTTGATAAATTTACAATTCAATGAGAGTATAAATCCAGACTCGTTACTTTAGAGATTTGGAAATTTGTAACTCCCTAAAACAATAAATGAATTGATACGACATCCTCCCACAAATAAAAATAAGATTCATTGGTTGTTTCGGTTAGGAACAAAATTAATTTTCTACTTACTTTTTAAACTCAATTTCCCGTTTCATTCGCTGGATTTTCAAAACTGACAGTTCTGGGGTGAATTACAAGAAGGCATTTTATTAATCTCTTGGCACATTTACCATTGGCAATGCCCATGCACCTGAAGGCAGGACAAGAAGCAATGGGTGGAAACTAATCAAGGAGAGAAGCAACCTAGAACTAAGGAGAAACTTCCTGACAGTGAGAACAATTAATCAGTGGAACAGCTTGCCTCCAGAAGCAGTAAATGCTCCAACACTGGAAGTTTTTAAAAAGAGACTGGACAGCCATTTGTTCGAAATGGTGTAGGGTTTCCTGCCCGAGCAGGGGGTTGGACTAGATGACCTCCAAGGTCCCTTCCAACTTTACTACTACTATTATTATTATTATTATTATTTAGTTTAATGAGTAGAAATGCCAGCTTTCTATGTGGAATGAAATTGGCCCAATAAAACAAAATTTGGTTGCTTGTAAAAGATTGAATTATTTTTAAGAAGTTGTCAAACAAGGTGGAAAAATGTACATTTGGAGTTTAATATGGATATTGGCTTGAAACAAATTAAAGTTGAAACTTTGTCAGTGAACAGATTACTTTTAGTTTACCTTTAAGTTAAACCCAAATTTAATAAATAGATCTGATTAAACCTCATACTGTAGGTCCACCTTTACATCTGACCATAATTAATATGTTATTATTATTAATAATAATACCTCCAAATCACAAGACATTGGCTTTATTCTTATTCTCCCCCTCTGCAGTTTGAATATAAAGTATAAAAGACTAAAAGGAGATTTTCGTAGACATCCCAGCCTTTGAATTAACCAAGGAACCGAAACAGCAAAGTTTTGCTGTCGGGCAAGCTTCCACTCCAGCCGCCCTTCTTTCCTCTCACTTCGCCTCTTTTTAACCTCACACCCCACCTTCTGTAGGGGAGGGCAAAAGGCTCGCTCACCCTCTCGTGAAAGATGGTCTCCATGTTTACGTGTCTCCCACCGCCACTCTTGGTTTCCACACTGTGTGGTCCAACCCAGCCAATCAAGCCATGCTCTGGCTGTGGTGCTCTGGTGCCTTGTGGCTCCTCCTAGAGGAGGCAGAAAGCGCTGGGGGGGGAACCCCACTCACACCATACCGCCAGCAGGGCATTTTCAAAAGCAAACGAGGATAGGAAGGAAAACAATAGGAAAAGAACGCAACTTTGGAAAATCCATCGAAAAAAGGTGCCGGAACTCTGTTCCAGTATGTTCTACAGCAGTGGTTCTCAACCTGTGGGTCGGGATCCCATTTGGGGTCGAATGACCATTTCACGGGGGTCGCCAAACCACACTGTCCGCCATTTTTTTCCCTTTTCCCTAGCTGTCCTACTCCCTCTTATTGGTGGCCACACCCACTTGGGGGTCACCACAACATGGGGAACTGTATTATGGGGTCACGGCATTAGAAAGGTTGAGAATCACTGTTCTACAACAACAACAAAAAAGCCCTGGTCACATGACCATGGAAGACTGCAAACAGCCTTAAAGGTAAGGCAGGTTCCAAGTGCGCAAAATGCAGTCATGTGACTGCTGGGGAAAGAGCCACCATCTGAACTCTGGAACTGGGTCTCAAGGCAGGACAAGAAGCAATGGATGGAAACCAATCAAGGAGAGGAGCAACCTAGAACTTCCTGACAGTGAGAACAATTAATCAGTGGAACAACCTGCCTCCAGAAGCGGTGAATGCTCCAACCCTGGAGGTTTTTAAGAAGAGACTGGAGAGCCAACTGTCTGAAATGGTATAGGGTTTCCTGCCTGAGCAGGGGGTTGGACTAGATGACCTCAAAGGTCCCTTCCAACTCTGTTATTCTGTTATTAATTTTTTTGGGGGGGGATTCCGTCATAATTTTGAACAGCCACTCAGTGACCAGTTATTAAGTGAGGACTATCTGGAACACATTTATGACAGGAGGCTTAGTATTCCACCTCAGTGTCATTTATATTGAACTCCACTATACCTTGTTGACTGGACTTACAGATGAAATAGCAACCATAGCAAATTGAAACAGGATGCTTGGTTCATATTTGCTTCCTGCAATTTTAGCGGGCCAGATGCCAAGATATTTCTGGTTCTTAACATCAGCTAGAACCTTTAGTTGACGATAGCCTGATTCCTTTAATAATAATTTTATTTATTAAGATCAACTTATCTTTTTCTTGATGAGGAAGGGCAAGCATTTAGGATTTTTTTCAGCGAATGGGTTTGTGCATCGTATTTCGACTATAAAGATAATTTATTCAATAAGGCAGTGGGTGGGTACTTACAAGCCTCTTAAGTCATAAACCACAGGTCACAAGCTTTAGTGGTTGGAGTCACACCGCAAGCTCAAACCAAGCCTGACTGCATTGTTGTTTAGCACAATGTGGGAATCCAGACCTGCTTCTGGGGATTAAATAGCAGCTTCAGGTTAAACCTCAATGCGAGAAGCAAGCACATCAGTTGTGGTGTAAAATGACAAGATGACTGATACCAATGCCATCCAGTAGAGGGCGCTGTGCACATGTATATCAGCTCTTATGTGCCATCCACATTGCTTAATAACAACTGCATGATTTTTCTTTTTAAAAAAGTCCAGAATAATCCCCTTTTCTTGCTCTTTATGTTCCTCTCCAGAGCACCCAACAGAGCAGGTGACTCCTTCGCCACCCCCTTTGAATGATGTGAGTGAGTGGGGCGATTGGCACTGAGATGAAGGCTGGAAAACAAGAAGCTCCCCCATTTAGGCCAGGCATGATCCTGAGTAAGACCACATCTGGACTACTGCATCCAGTTTTGGTCACTATATTATAAAAAAGATGTTGAGACCCAGGAAAGAATGCATAGAAGAGCAACAAGGATGATTAGGGGGTTGGAGGCTAAAACATACGAAGAACGGTTGCAGGAACTGGGTGTA